CTCTCTCTCTCTCTCTCTCTCTCTCTCTCTCTCTCTCTCTCTTGCGCATTACAACTCCAAGAAGTGCCACATGCGGACCAACGATAGCGTGCGCCCAATGAAGCACAACCTGCCTAATCTTTCTCTCTCTCTCTCCCCCTCTCTCTCTCTCTCTCTTTCTCTACAGCGCCAAGAAATGACACGCCCCTACTCTCTCTCTCTCTCTCAGCTGCAAAAAATGATGTGCGCCTACTCTCTCTCTCTCTCTCTCTCTCTCTCTCTCTCTCTCTCTATGTTGCACACCCACGAATTAGCGTACGCGCCAACATAAGAAGAAGAAGAGGACGATGTACGTACCTGTGGCGCGCTGGCGGGGGGGGTGGTAGAAGCACGGGCGACGACCGACGATGATGGAGGCAATAACGACGGCGGCAAGTCGGGCGACGGGCGACAGGGAGGGGGGGTAAGTCGGGGGGCGGCGGGAGATCATAGGCGTGAGGGAATGCGAGGGAACGCCTCCAAGATTTGAAAAGATCAGCGATCCAGATAGGCGGCCCTTTTCTGGTCTCTGGATGGGCCGAGCGGACGCAGCTCAATTCTTTTTGGGGTCAGGAGGCCCCCCCAACCTGCGTGGGCCCTCCTGGCCCGGAAAAAAATTGAACCGGCCCCTAATCCTCGATGCGATGTGGGGACCGGGGGAGAACCGGCACGGTCGACTGGCTGGTGGTTCGGGTTGGGGGCGGGCCCCTTGGTGGGACTGAGTTTTCATCCTAGGTGTCTGGTGCATTTTCAGAATGCAACCCCCTGGTCGCGCCCCCTTCCCCACCCCCCCAAAAAAATCTGATACAGTGTAACTGTGTTCATTTCAGTGCACACTTCTCTCCCTGATCCGTTGCTGTCCCCCTGTCTTGCCGCACTGGTTGCAGGCACTGGGGTTCTGCTTGTTTGTTTTTAAGGAGGTAGCCCATAATGCTATCGTATCCATCTGATTCCATCGGGATTTGAACTCGTGATCTGTTTGTGAGCAACTGTGTGTGTGTCCCATTCAGCGAGAAGACTAGGTATGCGGAAGTTACCTATTTCGTCCATTTTGAAACAGAAAACTTCTGGACAAGCATTGTTCACTTTCACTCAGCACTCGGACAGTCGGACTCAGTGTTGTACGTACCGAACAATCATTTCTGTGAAGTTACTGAAAAATTCCTCTGTGAATGTTGCATTTTTTTTAAATGTTTGTGTCGTAAGTTGTAATGTTTGCATCTCGTGAAGTTCATGTTTGGATAGATGGAAATGGTAATGCAATTCAATGCATGGTGCAAACAGTGCCTATTAATAACAATGACTTTGTGTGTCTGCAGGAGCTTATGGATGTGTGTATGCTTGTTTGTGTTCTGTGTTTACGGGGGACTTTGTGTTGTTCGGGATGAGGGTGTGGATGCAAGCATGTTCATTGTGCTTAGGGCACGATACTCTGTTGTGTTGTGTAGCATGCATTGCATGTGTGGTGGCAAGTTCGAAGTTGTGGTGTGTATTTATGTAAGTGCTAGTACGTTCAACCCTTGGGATGGGATAGTGGTGTGAATGGGGCATCATATGCACATGTCGGCATGTCGGTGGTGTGTGTGTGGGTGAGTAGACGTTTGGCTGCAGGACAATCCCAATCACCTCCTGCCAGAGATGGTGGCATCATGATGGGGGGCGAGGGAGGCAGGTATTCCCCAGAGCTGGCGGCAGGAGTGTTGCGGCCTAGGTACAGTGGGCTCGGTGGTGCCTCTGCCGGATTGTTTGCTGCGGCCACTGCAGGACTCTCGTCCGGGGAATCGAGAGGGGCACCAACTTATGGGTCACCCCCCACTTCGAGTGGGGGTGATCGAAGGGCATCTAGGTTGTCTTATCTGGATATGGCAGTCCTGGAGGGTTCAAGACATTTGCGGAAGGAGCGATCATCTCCTAGATCATCAAGACTCACATCACGTGGACAATGTTCTATGAACCAGTTGTCGACCGATAGTGTGGTTGATTGCACAGTCACAGGGAGTATTGATGATGACACCGAATGTGTGGGCCAATCTGACTATGTTGCAGCGACGTCCTTCAGTCGAAATGGAATCTCAACTCCAATTGCAGTGAATGAACCAGGTGGCGATTTCCCAAGGGATCAAGAAGGAAGCCTTGGAGAGGGAATTGAAGTGACCGGAAACCAGGAGGACAGTTGTGTAGAAGGTCAGCCGTCGCACTCCTTAAACCACCACCATTGCTACCTTTTACAACTGCCATTGTTACCAGAAGGCCCATCCTTTTTCAATCTGACGATTCCACCCGCTGAATTGACGATCAAGCGGCCACAGTTTTTCCAAACTGTCACCTGGGGTCAAACGCTGGGCCCGCCGTTGATAAATTCACTCGGCGGTCGCGTTTTCGTTTCGCGCCTCCAGAATTTGAGGTGTCAGGTCCGCGCCCCAGGTGCCCATGAACTGGTGCTTTAAGACCTAAGGTAAGGGATGACGGGATGGGAAAGACAAAACGAGGATTGACTTGACTACTGTGCTCACCCGAATACAACATACGGTCATTGTTGCTGTATCTAGACTCAAAGTTGTCCCCAAAAAATACAGCTATAATGACCGTACATTGTATTCGGGCTAACACAGTAAGTACGATTGCTGCAGGTGAAGCTCCACTGCAGGGACGCGATGGAAGATACAAGAGATGAAGCCACACAACCCATTGACATTCCCTTAAACTTCGGTCAGGCTGCAGACAATGCCTGGCCATTATTATGCAACATAGAACAGCTCAAACAATGGCACTGATGCTGACTGGGAAAGGCGTATGAGGTGACTGTTGAAACAGTCTGGCACAGTCGTGCTTGTCTTGTGGGCTTGTGGGCTTGTGTACAGCCGAGACAACAAAAACACACAGGCACAAGTACGCTGGCTTTTTTTGTGGAGTTGTGTATTGCTAACATGACAACACACGAAACATCAGATCTGCATTTGGCATTTGGCGCTCTGTCTGTCTGTCTGTCTGTCTGTCTGTCTGTCTGTCTGTCTCTCTGTCTGTCTTTCTGTCTGTCTGTCTGTCTGTCTCTCTCTCTCTCTCTCCTGTCTCTTATACACATCTAGATGTGTATAAGAGACAGTCGCTCATGGGCGCATGGCGCACCTCACACGTGC